AATCGACGCCGGTATCGGTCTCGAGAACGTGCAGATGGTCGAACTGGAAGAATGGCTCGCCGGCCAGAACCGACCCCGCAGCGACGTCCAGATGCTGCGCATCGACCAGCTCGCCGAGCTGGGCTGCTGCTGCTTCTGCTCGATCCTGTACATCGCGAACGACGCCTTCATCGCCGCGAACCCGGAGAAGGTGGCTGCATTCATGCGCGCCGTCAAGCGCGCCACGGACGACGTCCTCGCTGATCCTGCGGCGGCGTACGCCGAGTACATTGACGTCAAGCCGATCATGGGCACGGATGTCAACCGCAAGATCTTTGAGCGGTCGTTTGCTTACTTCTCGCGCGATCTGAAGAATGTTCAGCGGGACTGGACTAAGGTTACCAACTATGGAAAGAGACTTCGCATCTTGGACGCGGACTTCGTCGCGAACTACACCAATAAGTTCCTTTCTTGGGGTCTGGATGCTGACTCTACTGATCCTATTGGTGATCAGAAGCGCATGGCTGCACTTCAGCAGGAGGTTGCTGCTGATGGTGGTTTCAAGCGTCTTGAGGTTAAGGCTTCCGCTTAACTTTGCCTTGGGCTTTTAATGCCGATGGCACTTCTTGGAGATTTTTGTCCTAGGCTTCACTCTTTAGCCTCCATTACTCGAGTCAAATTGAAACTCGCTATATTGGTATCACTTTTGCTGTAAACAATGTGGCGAAAATCCAGTCATTCTGGGGACGTAGAGTACAACAGGGAAGAATAATTGGCATCCTGCGAACATCCTTTGATGACGTAGGATGCTAATAATTTGGATATTTTCTTTTGATCCTCCCAGGCAATATTTCTAGGCAAATTTCAGAATGAAATACCCAGCAGTAAGTATACTACCAAAAGTCTACAAACCGACATTTCGAATATAACCTGTTAGAAACAAAACCATGTTGAGATGTGTCGATAGTATCGTGAATCTTGTTTGCAAGATCGTAAACATCAGTCATTATCATGTCTCATAACATGAGTCGTGATCAAGGCACAGTGGAGACCCTAATTGCCTGATCGATCAAGCATAGCTCGCAGCCGGCTCTCCGCGGACTGCAAAGCAGGACTGGATTCCGGCCCAGCGATAGTGGCAGCCCACTTCAGCCACCCAATGAGGGATTGGATGATTTCCGGACCCGAGCTTTCCCCGCCGAGAGCGGACTGCGGGAGAATATTGGATTCGGAGGATCCATCATTTGCAATCGCCTCTAGATGAACCTCCGAAACAACAGCCGGTGTCGCCATCTGATATGACTGCTGTTTACCACTGCCAGCAGCAGCATTCTTCGCAAGTAGATCACGTCCATTATGCTTGGGTCTTGATGCGAATTCGCGCGTGAAAGGGGTCGCTGGTATGACCGGGGCGATAGGCACAATAGTTTCCGCTGCGGAGTCCATGCCCGGAGAAAATGGAGAATGGGGCTGCTGAGTTATTTGGTCAAGTGTACCACTCTGCTCCTGCATAGATGCAGTATGCCGCAGGTTTTCCAGATACCGATGAAAGGAGAATGGATGCATATCCTGAGCTGAATCAGTCGGACTAGCGTCCTCGTCGACAATGACCGGATTGCTGTCATCGGCACGTCGTTCCTCACTCGGCCCGGCCTCCTCGACCGGTCCCAGCGCACTCGACGGAGCACAGATCTCACCCAAAGGCGCGATGTGGCTCCCGTACTCGTTGGAAAGACTCAGCTTGCTCCGCCCACAAATCTCAGCAATGGAATCCAGAGTGCCACGGATATCAGGCTCGATGGCCTGCAGTATACTCTCAATACTGAAGTCCTTATCCGTCGGGAATATGACATCAGACTGGGACGGGCGCGTGGGAGGCGAGCTCCTCGAGCTGGAAAACGAGAGGAACCGACGCGAGGGCATAGTAGACCGTCGTGTAGATCTATTCTGCGCATCGCCCGAATACGCCCTGACTAGCACAGGGCCTCTATCAGGTGTCGACAAGCGCCGGGCAGAGGGATTATCGACTCGAATAGGACGGGATGCAGGCCTCGGGGTACCGTTTAGTTGGCGCAAAGCCGTAGCACGATATGCAGCGGTGGGGTCTTCGGCGATGGACTGGTACCGTTGGTTTGTCTGGTGTGAGGGGTCGACGGCGGGCACAACTTGAGAAGCATGGGATAGGGATCGTAGTCGGGGCCATGCTTGTCGAGGTAGGGAAGACGAAGGCCTTGTACTGGGCAATGTCTCCGACTCCATCTTCTGTACCGGTTGCGGTAGCGCACAGCTACGTGTAATGCAGGAGACAGCGCAGACACCGACCCCGCTCTGGGAGGGGACAGGACTTTGAGAGGGTTAGGTTTCGCATGTATCCACGTCGGATGCGCAATGCATATTCACCGACATGCGTTGAGTGTTTTGTCTGATGTAAATCATCCGAGGGGTGGACAGCTTCCCTGATGACCACCAAAGCTGTCAATGTGGTTCAGGCACCTCAGGTACACTATGCAAAAAAAGCCAAAAATAGGATGGCTCTGCCGCGAGTCGAACGCGGGACCCCCCCGTTTGCACCATTATGATACGAGCGGGATGCCTTAACCACTGGGCCACAAAGCCAAACTGATAATGAATTTTCCAAACATGAAGATGACACGCTCAACAGGCATGTAAGCTATATCGAGGCATAGACACCACCACGTTTCCCAAGTGTTCCTTCATCATTGCTCACGCTCTGCCCGGAACGCACCATGAATCGGTTCCAAGTATGAACCCATGTGACTCAAATTGGTACCTCGTCTAACCGACCTATAGTTCGGCGACTCCGACGGGTCCTCCTCCGACTTCGATGAAGACCCATCTGGTCTCCCCTTCCCGGAACCGCTATCTCGCACCTCATTCCTCGCCCCTGACTTCGATCCGGCCAATTTCCTCTCGTCATTGACAAACCGACATCAAAGCCTCGAGGATCTGCGACAGGAATTGCGGGGACTGGAGCAATTCTTGAACAAGGAGCTGTTGGATCTTGTCAATGAGAACTACCAGGACTTTCTCTCGTTGGGCAGCGCGCTCCGCGGAGGAGAGGAGAAAGTCGAAGGTGTAAAAGTCGGCGTACTTTCTTTCCAGCGCGACGTCAAGGCTATACGGGACAAGGTCGAGGCGCGACGCCAGGAAGTGGAAGAGCTGTTGAACGAAAAGCGGCGACTACGAAAGAACACCGACATTGGCAAAGACCTGCTGGACTATGCAGATCGGGTGGAGGAGTTGGAACACCGTTTGATGATTGAGGACAAGTCATCGCAAGAACATGCCACATCGGACGAATCAGATACAGAGTCCGATTTGTACGGCGGCGAGAGTGAAGACAGCGAGGATTATGAGCTAGCAGATGGCACACCTGCAATTTCATTAAAGAGGATGGAACGTCATGCGCAGAAATTTGTCTATTTGACCTCGATAGCTGCCCGGGTCGGCGAGAAGCATCCCTTCCTGCTTGCGCAGCAACCACGAGTCGCAAAGATCAAGTCTACAGTGCTCCTGGATCTCAAAACTGCCTTGGAGCAGGCCACGGCAGGTGGTAAACAGGGCAAACGTGACGCTAGAACAATGGCAGTTCTGCGCCTCTACGAGCTTATGGGTGAGGACGTCAGTGCCGTTGCCGCGCTGAAGAACCTCAAGCTGTAAAAACAACGTGCATGTTCCTGGAAATTGGCAATCGGCACTGGCTTGCATACATAGCGTCGGCGTTTCGTCTTATAAAGTTCTAGTTCAACAATGATACCATGATACACCATGTCCTTTCCTAATAAAACAATAAATTTGTACACGCCAAAGGATATAAGAAAATTGAGTATGTTACATGCCGGCCAAGGCGGAGGTTGGGGGAGAGGCGTCAGAGCGGAACTCGCCGCTGAGTGAGAATCCGGGTCCGTTCGTCGAGCTCAGTACCTGATGGTGTTGTTAGAGATTTTTCCACAAGAAGGATCAATTAAGTACTCACCACCTCGTAGACCTCCTTGTTGACACGGTCGGTCAGCGCGGAAGCATCCTTCTTAATCTGGTCAAGGGTCACGCGCATGTTGTCGCGCAATTGTTCTGGAGAGAAGCCCAATTGCCCGATGGGCAGACGGATAACAGCATCACGCTCTCTGTACACAGTACCACCACGGAGCATCTCCACTCGCGCAGCCACATCTTCCACAACGGTACCAGTCTTCGCACTGGGCATCAAACCGCGAGGACCGAGGATACGACCCAGCGCGGCCTTGTTCAATGCCGGCAAACTGTCCGGGTGAGCGAGACAGCGATCAAACTCAATAGTGCCTGCCTTGACGGCGTCGAACACTTCTTGTTCACCGACGAGAACGGCACCAGCAGCAAGCGCTTCCTTAGCCGCTTTCGAACCGGGAGGACAGATGACACAGATGCGGGATTCGGTCTGGACGGCGTGCGGGAATCGGAGCATGTTACGGATGACGGGACCATCGCGCTTTGTCCGCAGTCGGATGTGCAGCTCGTATTTTTGAACGGTGGGTTCGCGACCGACTTCGATGGCCCGGATATACCTGCAGAAAGGAAGGTGTCAATTGATGGCCCGCTATTGGCTGGCATCTGTGTCCAGTACATACCGCATAGCATCACACAGTGAATACTGCGGCATATCCTTCAAATTGGCTTGCCGGAACTCCTGGGGTGCTTTGCGGCTCTTGGTAGGCTGCTCCTTCCCCTTCTTTGGTTTGTGCTTGAGACCTCGGACCTGCTGGAAAGTCGAGAGAACGGGAGCGATTGATGAATTTCGCAGCGGATTCCGGCATGATGATAGGATTCCTCGTGCCGCACTGGGCAGTACCGAGCCGGAGGACGACATGTTGGCAAGCGTTGATTTGAGCTGATCGGCTGGATGAAGCAATTGTTTTCTGCCGGAAAGCAGTCGGGGTCGGAGAAATGTGGCTCCGGACGGGGACTGTAGATAATGACTCCCCCGCCAGAAATTCACATTGCTCCTAACACTACACTTCTGCGCCATGTCTGAATACGAGTTGAAAGTGGCCACTCGTGGCAACCAGGCGGCAACTCTGCCTGCGGTTCTCATCGTCACCTCCATCAATGAGGCCCGTCCCACCCCCGTGATCAACATCACATATGAGGACACTGCTCTTCTCCAGGATGGCGACAAGGCCATCGTGCAGCTCACTAGTGGTTCCAACTCTGTCTTTGGTACTGCCAATGTCATCCAGGAACTTACTAAGCACTTCCCTTTCCTGACTGGCAAAGATTCCAAGGTGGTGAGTTGAGTCACTACCCCGCGGTCGAGTCTTTTTTTTGGAACCGAAATAACCCTAACACTATTCCTCGCAATAGGAGACTGAGTGGATCTCTCAATTGGATTCCCTGACCATCCTGGATTTCAAGGCCCTCGATCCCGTGCTTCAGCGCCTTGATACTCACCTCCTCATGCGCTCGTTCGTGGTCGGATACTCTCTGTCGACCCCCGACATTGCCCTTTGGGGTGCTATCCGAGGCAATCGTGTCGCCACTGCGGCCGTGAAGAAGGGATCCCTTGTGAACCTTACCCGCTGGTTTAGGTTCATTGAGGAGCTTTGCCCCTGGGCTCCCGCCGCTGTGGAATCCATGAACGCAGTTGCTAAGGAGAAGAAGGTGGCCAAGTCTAAGGAGGGCGCCAGTTACGACATTGCGCTCAAGAACACCGAGAACGGTGTCGTTACCCGATTCCCTCCCGAGCCTTCGTGAGTTGGGACCCAATTCTTGTTTGGTCTATCTGAGACTAATATCGTTCGCTCTAATGTAGTGGATACCTCCACATTGGTCACGCCAAGGCCGCTCTTCTCAACGACTATTTTGCGCATGAGAAGTACAACGGTACTATGCTTCTGAGGTTGGTTGAAGACAAATAGCAAACAAAACCAAGGACCCTGAACTGACTTGTACTAGATTCGACGACACCAACCCCTCGAACGAGAAGCAAGAGTTCGAGGATGCCATCGTGGAGGACCTTGCGCTCATGGGCATCAAGCCTAACAAGTTGACTTACACTAGTGACTACTTCGACGAGTTGTACGCCTACTGTATCCAGATCATCAAACAGGGCGACGCCTACGCAGATGATACCGATAAAGAAACCATGGCTGCCCAGAGATGGGACGGATTGCCTAGCAAGCGTCGGGATCTTTCCCCCGAGGAAAGCTTGGCGCATCTTGAGGATATGAAGAACAGCACCCCAGAGGGTCTTCGTTGGTGCATCCGTGCTAAGATCTCCTACGACTGCCCCAATAAGGCCATGCGTGATCCGGTCATCTACCGATGCAACCCAACACCTCACCACCGCACCGGCAGTAAATGGAAGATCTACCCGACTTACGACTTTGCCTGCCCTATCGTTGATTCGATGGAGGGTGTCACCCACGCTCTGCGTACTATCGAGTACCGCGATCGTAACCCCCAGTACCAGTGGATGCTGGATACTATGAAGCTGCGCAACGTGCAGGTGTGGGATTTCGCCCGCATGAACTTCGTCCGCACCCTCCTCTCTAAGCGTAAGCTCACCAAGCTGGTCGAGACTGGTCTCGTTTGGGGCTGGGATGATCCCCGCTTCCCCACCATTCGCGGTATCCGTCGCCGCGGTATGACCATTCCTGCTCTCCGGGAATTCATCCTTAAGCAGGGCCCCTCCAAGGCTGTGACCAACTTCGACTGGGGTCTTATCTGGGCTACCAACAAGAAATACATTGATCCTATTGCCCCACGCCACACCGCGATCTTCACCAAGAACGTTGTGAAGACCACTGTGATTGGTGGCCCTGCTACCCCTTACAGCGAGCAAAAGCCTAAGCACATTAAGAACGCCGCCGTCGGTATGAAGAAGGTTGTCTACAGCAGCTCGATCATTCTCGAGCAGGAGGATGTCAAGCTCTTCAAGCCGGACGAGGAGATCACTCTTATGAACTGGGGCAATGCCATCGTGCGCAAGATCACAACGAACCCCGAGACCGGCATCATTACCGATCTTGAGCTCGAGCTGCACATGGCTGGCGATGTCAAGAAGACCGAGAAGAAGGTGACTTGGCTTGCTACCGAGGGACAGGACCTAGTTCCTGTCGAGTTGGTCGACTTTGACCACTTGTTGACCAAGGATTCTCTCGGTGAGGATGACGTCCTGGAGGACTTCCTCAACCTGCACACCGAGTTCCGTGAGGCGGGTCTGGCCGACTGCAACGTCGCTGATCTCAAGGAGAGCGATATCATTCAGTTCGACCGTAAGGGCTACTACCGCGTGGACCGTGCTTACTCCCCTGGTAAGCCTGCAGTCTTCTTCAATATTCCTTCCGGCAAGACCAAATAGATACTGTGTCAGTTATGCTTGAATCATGTTTTATGAGTGATCCATGATAAGAAGAATGAAAGATTGTTTATACGCTTCCACTTGCGTTCAGTAAAATGAATCTAGATCCTCTGTGCATCTACGAAGGGCTACCTTGGGCGAAAGGGCACCTGGTGGCATTATCCAGGTGCTTTTTTTGTTAGGGCATTCGGATGGGATTTGAATGCAGGTAAAGGTCATCGGATGATACCATACCCGCTCTGGGTGGGTAGTTCGGGGAGTTCTGGGAAGCGTTGTAATGGCGCGTGTAGGGCTGAACAGGGTCACGTGTGGCCGAGCTCCACTGCAACGATCTCGCTAGCAAGTTGCTCATAACCATCTTATACTTTCGGTTCGATTTCCGACCATATGATTTCTTTTGACGAATCAGAAAAATTGGCGTGGAATGGATGTAAACTCCGCCGGCCGGCTGTCAGCGGAATGGATGCGCATGACGTCGCAGGTTACCTGCTGCTTCAGTTGACATCCGGACAGCCGCTCGCCCTCTACAGCAGAAACGGGCCTAGTTCATTCGTTCACCTATGCTTGATTGAGCACCCCGGATCTTTCTGGTTCATAGCTTCGAATGGTATTATAGCTACGGTGTTCAACGCCCAATGCGTGTCCCGCCATAGCTGGATGCACTGATCGATGATCATCTCCGCATAAGACCTTTGATGCCTGTAGGAACATCAGTATAGCACAAGGTCCTACAGCCGCAGACACACGACCTGGACCCCTTTCCCATCGTCGTGATGTCCCTCGCCGAGGAAACATCTTCCACGATCCATAGGTGAATGCCCTTGTCTCGAAGTCAATTCGGGTACCTGCTTGGACCACTAGCTTCTTTCGATCTTAGAGCCGACTATGATGTTATGGGCTTTATCTAGATTGGTCGAACCAATGTTCTATGCATCAAGACCCAGCGGGAGTTCTTCGGGTTATCCGCGGCTCGTCCCTTTCGAGACCTGGTTCCCCGGCTTTTGGTCCCTGGTTTCATCATCCTTCAAGTACCGAGTACAAAGACCAAAACAATGAGCATACATGCGAGATGTCTCTCCCGAGGGCTTCCTGGCTCGACGTCAGCATGATTTCTTTTGGATCTTTTCGCTACGCTACCTAGCTACTTCTCTTCTTTTCTACTCCAGATAAAATTGCACTCATCTTCAATACTTGACATCCCGCAGGTGCCGAACTGCGAATATAACATTGGAAAAGTTCATTTTTTCTTTAGTATCATTGTTGTTCATTTTCATATTCCCCTTTTGCTTCGTGCATTCATTTTCGTTATCAGATCTTGTCTCCTGAAAGGTATGTGCCTATCTGGTTTGTTTGTACCGGAAGGACTATGATCTGATTTATAAAGCCAAACATGTCCGGCGACGGTCAAGCCGAACGTGCCGAGACTCGCCGCCGGAGCTCACGTATCTCCCGGGCATCTCTGAGCGGGGACTACAACAGTCTGGACGAGTATGGCAAGCTTGTCAAGTACGTTTCGACGTTCCGGGATGCTGCGGCGGATCAACAACAGGGCGAATTGGTCGAGAAACGAGTCTGGTATGCCCCGTGGAAGAAGCATCAGGTCCGCGTCAAAAAGGTCGAGGGGGAGGTTGGCAAGTTTCCCGATGATTGGACCATGACGGATGTCCGAGAGGGGCTTTCTAGCCATGAAGTGCCAATCCGTCGGCGTCGGGCTGGTTGGAACGAGATGACATCCGAGAAGGAAAATCCTATTGCTAAGATTCTTTCTTACTTCCAAGGACCAATTCTCTACGGTGAGTGCATATAACTCCTCCCTTGGTTACCGCACTGACTGGAGCATAGTCATGGAATTGGCTGTTCTGCTTGCTGCTGGTCTAGAGGACTGGATTGATTTTGGTGTGATCATTGGTATCCTGTGTCTGAACGCGGCAGTGGGCTGGTATCAGGAGAAGCAGGCTGCGGATATTGTTGCGAGTCTCAAGGGTGATATTGCCCTGCGTGCGCAGGTCATTCGTGACAGTACTCAACAAGAATGTCTTGCTCGGGAGTTGGTTCCAGGCGATGTAGTAAGTCTATTTTGGATGAGCTGGAACATTGGTATACGCAAACTTCTTATCAATCATTTAGGTCATCGTCGGTGAAGGTCAAGTCGTGCCTGCGGACTCCAGAGTCATCTGTGATGTCAAGGATGAACATGGCTGGGAAGAGTTCAACCAGCTTCAAGAGCAGGGTATGCTCGGTGGAGGGTCCGAGTCTGATGAAGAGGAAGACCCAACCAATACCGATAAGGGTAAGGGCGAAGACGGAGAAGGCGGAGAAGGCGAGATCAAGGCCAAGGAAAAAGACGAACACCAGGCGAAGAAGGCTCGCAGACGTGGCTATCCTATTTTAGCTTGTGATCACTCTGCTATCACGGGCGAGTCGCTAGCTGTGGATCGTTACATGGGAGATATGATCTTCTATACAACTGGCTGTAAGCGTGGCAAGGCCTATGCTGTCGTTCAAACGCCTGCGACCACTTCCTTCGTTGGCCGCACTGCAACTATGGTGCAATCTGCTAAAGGCGCTGGTCACTTCGAACTTGTCATGGACAATATTGGAACATCTCTCTTGATTCTCGTTATGGCCTGGATCCTTGCTGCATGGATCGGTGGATTCTTCCGTCATATTCCTATCGCTTCACCTGGTCAGCAGACTTTGCTTCACTACACTCTGTCTTTGTTGATCATTGGTGTACCTGTCGGTTTACCTGTTGTGACCACTACCACCATGGCTGTCGGTGCTGCCTATCTGGCAAAGAAGAAAGCTATTGTGCAAAAGCTGACTGCAATTGAATCCCTGGCCGTAAGTCTGCGTCAAATTGGACTATTATGAGATACTGACAGCGAATTAGGGTGTCGATATTCTGTGTTCGGATAAGACGGGTACACTCACGGCAAACAAACTGAGTATTCGTGATCCTTATGTAGCTGAAGGCGTCGACGTGGACTGGATGTTTGCCGTTGCTGCTCTCGCGTCATCGCACAATATTGAATCTCTCGATCCGATTGATAAAGTGACAATTTTGGCGCTTAGACAATATCCAAGAGCACGAGAAATCCTGCGACGGGGTTGGTCAACCGAAACTTTCACGCCCTTTGACCCGGTTTCAAAACGCATTGTCACTATTGCCACCTGTGACGGTATTCGGTATACCTGCACCAAAGGCGCTCCGAAAGCCGTGCTTCAATTGACAAGCTGCTCTAAGGAGACAGCTGACTTATACAAGGCCAAAGCCCAAGAATTTGCGCATCGAGGCTTCCGCTCTCTCGGTATTGCTGTTCAGAAAGAAGGCGAAGATTGGGCTCTGCTTGGAATGCTCCCTATGTTTGATCCGCCCCGAGAAGATACCGCTCAAACTATCAGCGAAGCGCAGAATCTCGGTATTAGCGTGAAGATGCTTACCGGTGATGCTATTGCTATTGCGAAAGAAACCTGCAAGATGTTGGCTTTGGGTACTAAGGTGTATAACTCAGACAAGCTAATCCACGGCGGTTTGAGCGGTGCCATGGCTAGTGATCTCGTTGAAAAAGCAGACGGCTTTGCCGAAGTGTTCCCGGAACACAAATACCAAGTCGTACAAATGCTACAAGAACGAGGGCACTTGACCGCTATGACCGGCGATGGTGTAAATGACGCACCATCTCTCAAAAAAGCCGATTGTGGCATCGCCGTCGAAGGTGCCTCGGAAGCCGCTCAGTCCGCAGCAGACATCGTGTTCCTCGAGCCTGGTCTTTCAACTATCATTGACTCTATTAAGGTCGCACGTCAAATCTTTCACCGCATGAAGTCATATATTCAATACCGCATTGCACTCTGCTTGCACCTTGAGATCTACCTCGTGACTTCGATGATCATCCTCAATGAAAGCATCCGTGTGGAGCTTATTGTCTTCCTGGCATTGTTCGCCGATCTTGCGACCGTTGCAGTTGCCTATGACCATGCATCATTCGAGCTGCGACCTGTGGAATGGCAACTTCCCAAAATCTGGGTCATTTCCTGCCTTCTTGGTGTGCTTCTCGCCATGGGTACGTGGGTTATCCGAGGAAGTATGTTCCTGAAGAACGGAGGCATTATCCAAAACTGGGGATCTATTCAAGAGGTCCTCTTTTTGGAAGTGGCACTCACAGAGAATTGGCTAATTTTCGTCACTCGCGGCATCGACACATGGCCATCAATCCACCTGGTAGTCGCTATCCTCGGCGTCGACGCTTTGGCTACGATCTACTGTCTGTTCGGTTGGTTTACCAACCAAACCATGCCAACCAAGCCCGCAGACCATTTTGTTGAGACCACAAATGGCTGGACCGATATCGTCACTGTTATTCGAATCTGGGGTTATTCGCTTGGTGTTTCGATTGTTATCGCTCTAGTATACTTCATCTTGAACAAGATTGAGTGGCTCGATAATCTGGGTCGTTCCAAGCGCGACAAGGGTGAGATCAGAATTGAGAACCTGCTTGCTCACTTGTCTCGTGTTACGGTTGAGTACGAGGAATCGGGCGCCACGAAGGGCCGGTTCTCCTTGGCTACAACCAAGGAGGAGGAGGAGGCTGAGTGAAGGGGTGGGATATCAAGTGGAAGGTATGATGTCCGGATCTTACTATCATTGGATGTTGAAAGTTGTCTTTCGTTCTGTTCCTGGCCTAATTAGGTATTGTCGATGGTGAACGTTATTATTATGGCGTGTTCTCGGGGGGCAACGTACAAGAGCACGAGGGTGTCTATGTTAATCTCTAATGTGTTGAATCTGCTTACAAGTATCCTAATGGCGCTCAAATACCTCTAGTTATCTCTTTTGAATTCAATCAGTTACTATAGATGGAAACCATATGATACCTGTCAGCTTGTAGATATATTTTGAGTCCAATCCAATAGTGTCTTCATTGTATGATCGCATTTGTGGAAGACACAAAGCAACAATAATGGTGCAATTTTCCAAGCTTCAAAGGGAAAGATTAAATAGGGTATCGAATAAAGGGTAAACAAGACATTAGATGAGTTGAAAGTAATAAGATCGAAGGGTATAAAGAAGGCAAAAGATTCAAAGGACAAAATGGGAGTGAATCGGGTCTAAATTGACCTCGAGTTCATCGTAAAAATTCCTTATATGCGCTCAACAGCCCAATCATGTGCATTCATTGCCAGAGAAACACAGCTCCCCAAGGCCTTGTTTATGGCGATGTCAGTTCTGGTCACAACCCCAAGCGCAGTTGCGCTGAGCATGTCAGAGATTGTTGGCTAGACCATGGGTGATACCGCTAGCAGCTTTGTTCGCCTTACGGAGGCCACCCAGCAGACCGAGAAGGTCGTTCCCGAGGATAGAGCCGAGGAGATTACTACCCGACTCATCATTTGGTCCATCGTCTGAATTATCGTCGTCGCTCGGCGAGTTAGGGCCACCATTCGAGGTGGGAGTCGCAGTTGTCTCCGCAGATGTGGTTGAGGAAGCCTTGGGCTTTGCGGTTGTAGTGACGATAGTAGTCGGTTTTGGTTGGGTAGTGGAAGCGACAGGCTTTTGCGTGGTGGTCGTAACGGTAGGCTTATGTTCTTTGGTGGTGGTGGTGGTGGTGGTGGTTGTTTCTTCAGCTCCCTTGTGCGAAGCAGAAGCAGATGAGGAGGAGGAGGATGAGTGTGAAGAGACGGGTGCATTGGAAGATGGCGAAGTCGTCGTCGTCGTCGTCGTCGTCGTTCTCGTAGTCGTGGTTGTGGTAGTTGTGGTGGTTGTCTTCGTTGGGTCAGTGGACGTAGAGGCAGATGCCGAGGTTGACACCGGGTCGGGCGACGACGAACCGGAATCATTCGCAGAACCTAAGCTTTCTCGCACGTCCTCGATAAATCCATCGTTTTCGTATGCCTGTGTGGCATCCCACATCATAACACCTCCGAAACTGTCGAACTTCTTCGTGTATTCAATCACCTTGGCCAACTCGGACGCCGGGATATACCCCGTGCTAGCTGCAGAAGTAAAGGCTGGGACGCCGACGATGACCTTTACATCTTTGTTCTGTGACACGGTCTTAGCCCAGGTGTCCCACTCCTCGAAGTTGTATTTGTTGCTTGAGCTGTCGGTGTTGAAATTGTTGACGCCGCAATAGTTATTATAGAACTGTACCCAGATAGCGTCAATGTAAACAGGACCGTTGAGGATCTCTTTGTCTGCCTCGTCAGGGTAGGGGCATTGCGGTGCCGATGTCAAGTAGAAATCCTGCTTGCTCTTATCCGCCTTCATCAGTGAGCGCAGCTCGTTGGCGAAGGGGGCCATGTGTTGGACATTGGCCTCAAAGTCCAAGTCGAACCCATCCAAGGCGGCGTCACCGAAGGGACGAAGAGCGGTTGAATTCTCTTTCTTGGGGCCAAAGGTCTCCCACATCAGCTTCGCACCGTCCTTGGCATCTTCGTCGGACTTGAAGCCGCCCTCGCTGTAGGTCGCTCCACCGATTGAAAGAAGGATCGTCTTGTTCTTCTTTTGGCACGTTTGGATGTCCTTCCTAGATCCTGTCAGCCGTCTAGAAATGGTCAGCGGACGGGATATGTTCTTACGCAATTGAAGGACAGTTCTTTAATTCTGTGCCTTCGAAGACATCGCAGTCCTTGCTGGTAACAGAGAAATCAATCTCTGGAGCGCCTCCTGGGCCGTTGACCATCATATTGAAGGCCATTGGTATCACCTATGCCATTTTGTTAGCCCATTGTTTTGAAAGCGTTCCTGATGACCTAGTTCCTACATCAATGTCCTCATCTAGAGGCTCGGGTTAGTTTGAACGACCACATTGAAGATATATCATTCACTCACTATCGCAGTAGTGTGCAAGAGGCTGCTGTGCCTGATCCCCCTTTCCATTGAATGAATTCTGGCCTTCAGTATGTCTCATGTAAGTACGAATTAATCCAAACCACCAACAAGCACATACCCCAGTAAACAACGATGTTGCTAGTCGAGTTTAAGTCCAGCTTCGCCTGTGCTCCTCCGAATGAAGCCAGCAAAATAGACCAAGCAAGAAGACACAGATACCGGCGCATAGTGACGAGCGCAGTACAGTATCTGCTCGCGTTAGATTAAGTAGGTATTAGGAAGAAATTAATATATGGGATTAGAGGATGTATAGGGACGGAAACGACAAAGGAGAGTCAGAACACCGATCCTCATCGTGAATGAGCATAGTGCATTGTTAAATACTATATACATATTTGTCCTTGTTATTTTCTAAAAAGAAATGTCCGCGTTCCTCATTCAAGTGGCTTGCTTACCCGGTGCCCGCAGCGCATGGTATGATCCAAATGTCCACGCTAACAATCGAAAAGGAGGTTCGGGGTCATTCCTTGGTCCCAAATAGATGGTTTGTGTAGGTAGTTTAGCCAGGTGAATATTTTGATTGGATTGTGGGGTGTTTCACGCGCCCTGGTGTGCATTCCAGTGTTGTTGTCGGGGGACTGAGGGCAGATCTAAGAATGCACCGAGGGATGAGCATGTGTGGATGTAAAGTTTAGTTCTAGGCCATCCTCATTTGACTCTGCTGCTATAGAGACCGTACCTATGCCTGGTAAACACGTCATATCCCTTGTCATCTGGGTGGTCATCTCGGTGGTCGTCATTATGTTGTAGTTGGTCGAACTATACTCCATTGGCCCTTTCAAGACGAACTGTTCACCTTGTGCTAAAATCCTTTAGCTTGTTGTTTCTGTCAAAGAATTAAGTTCTTGCTGAATTTTAGACTAGGTTTCTTTAAATAACAATTTTAAATGTAGAGCACCGTTGTGTAGAAGATTCAACCAGCCAATGCTCTTCAATATATATCAGCAAACCCAATACCACAACCTACATAACTGACAAACTTGAGTACGAAACATTCAGGCTTCGGCTTATCCGAACCTTTATTTGTCATGAATTCGATGCTATTCCCCTGCAGAATGCAACTACTATGTTGTACATATCACATCTAGATCAGTATTATTCCATTGGGTTAGCGTCAAATGCTACACGAGGGCATTCCCAGTTCATTTCGAACACCCAATTCCTGCAGGAATGCATCGGATCACTTACCGAAAGCCCGATTCATGGAAGTATAGCCGCAAATTTCCCAGAGGAATCGAGATTATTCTTACCGGTTCTACTTTTTGGTAAAATTCTTCGCCAACTCGTCGCTCGCGATGCATTCATTGTATCGCTGTCCGCAAGCCAACCATTTCGAATTTTTCGGCCGATGACAATTTTGAGTGGAAGACATTGTTTGAACAAAAGGTGAAAGTCTACCGTCTACCTAAGGACTGTTCATTGCGGTCTTCAGTTGTCGAAGTAGTTGTTGAAATAGTAGTTAAAGCAGTTGTTGGAGCAGTTTTTGGAGTAGTAGTTGGCGATGAGATCTCTCTTCTCGAGATTCTCGTCTCAACAAGGTAACAAGTCAAACGCACCTGCATCTTCTCCTTCTCCTCTCTCTTTTTCCTCCCATCTCCCCTATCCATCACATTTACCTCACCTTTCACATATCTGAGCTCTCTTTATCATCCTCAATTTACCGTCCAATCTTCCTCATTTCCTGTTTTTGATCTTCCTTTGGTGATCCGACCTGGTTACCCCAGTATCTCAGTGCAACATACGAGAGTCTTCATGTCGATGGACACCGGTTACAGTTTCATTGCCATGTGATACGCTGAAAGGTGTTATCGACGGTGCTCTCTGTGGTGTGAAAGAGGGTGCAACTATTACTCATTGCAAGCATAGGAGGAAATGACAGTAGAATGTAATAGACCTCTGATATCAAAGTGAAGTTCTTGCTAACGATTAAACAAAGAACTCAACAAAAAGATCACTGCTTTCCTGACCGACAAAGGGCAGCTCTACACAAAGGACGAATGGCTACAGCGCTACCCTGAGCCAACCGACTGAGGTTTCCTTTTGAAACAAGCAGGCTCGGATATGAGAGATGGCTTAGCAATGAAGTAGCGGCGGGGCCTTGACCTTATCCCATTGAAACGAATATTACGAATATGCATACAGGACCCCGATATCAAGGACCGTAACATTGTGCACGTCAATGCGGCATATATAGAATCTAGCTCTGGATGGTATTATGAGCAGATCTCTCTGCATACTGTTTATATCGTGACTTCTCCGTCTTCGAGGGCCAAGGAAGCTACCTCTTGATCCCAATGACTCGCTGGATAGCTTCATCATTGCTCATTGCCGAGTCAATAACACCAGCCACCTTGAGCACATCGACAACACCTCCAATAATCTTATCATCAACACCGCGGGTGGCATTAGTGAACTTAACATCCTTGAGCCACTCCGTTGCATCCTCCTCGACATAATTGCAACCGAGCTCACCAGTACCCAAAAGCTTCACAACATGTGCAGTATCAGCCTCGAAATCCTTGATTCCCTGATCCAGAGCCTGGAAGAGACTCTCCAATCGCTGATCTTTCTCGGGGTTAGGGAACAGCGCTGTAGAAGCGACAATCATCCAAGAAGGCCAAGGGGTGAAGATCTCGCCAATCTTCTTAAGCGGCGGGTTCGGTCTCTCAGCTGTAGGATGGAAGTATGGCTTCGTGGTAAATTCCTCCCACATGAAGAACTCAGCCGATGGGTTCGCAGCCTGGTCGGGCTTTGAGGCGTCGAGGCCAGACACACCATCCCGCAACGGCCCGAAGGGTCCCAGAGGGACGGTGGTCAAAGAGTCAGCTTTCCAGCCTTGCTGCTGCGCAAGAACGAAGGACATGATATGCGAGCCACTGTAGGCCAACATGTCAGTCTCCAAGCTATACTGTGCTCATGACTCATGTTGATAGCTTACCTTCCCAACCGGCTGACTCCAACCCTCTTGTCCTTCAGATCCGACACTCCCGTGATCTCGTCCCGATTGCGTCCGGTGACTATAGCCCAGCGCAGGGGGTTGTCTACCCAGTGGCCGACAACTTTGTATCCTCCATCTGCATCCGGGGATGTCTGACTCGCTTGCTGCTTCCCGGCTAAGCCTGCGACCCATCCCTCTGTCAAACCAATGGCGACGTCAATTTCATTGCCGCGGAGGGATGTGATCATATGGCCTGTCCCAGATGGGAAGGGAGTTGCGACGATTTTGAATGGGAGGGAAGAAACAGCCGGGGAACGGAGTGCGAGATGGAGTGGGGTTAGGTAGTGCTCTAGTAGACAAAGGCTTAGTGTTAGCTATATCCTGCCCGAGAGCAATAGAAGTGACTGGCAGGCTTCGTTGAGACAAAGGCTGTAGCATAGACACGGGAGTACTGTCTTGCATCTGATGCGGAAGCTGTGGGAAAGCTGACGTACCGGGCACGTAGCCAATGCGGACTGTGGGCAAGTCGGCCATTGTGTAAGACACAGCTGCACTATTGATTTGGAGAAGAACAAGCGGTAGATCTGAGGTTACTGGGGAAGACGTTGGCGCAGAAGTTCGAGCAGAGCAGTCGAAATGACGCGGGGCAAGCCCCTCACCAGGCGCGCAATCGGAGAATCACCGGGAAATGATTTTTTTTGAAACCATCATAGTATTCACATTATCTCATTCAAATTACAGATCTATAGTGCTGTTTTCCAATGCTACCTATCTACATAAATATGAAGTCTAGTCCAAGTTCATCATGCGAGTGTTTCAGTCCATGCGGATGTCCTTCTCGTGATGACCCCAGCGGTCATTCTCCATAGACTCGCTTGCAGCCTGGGAGTTGGAGCGGGAGTGAGAATCGGAGACAGGGAAATTGTGCGAGAGTGAGTTGGAGTGTGAGTGTGGGATAGCAAACGAGTTAGAGAGCGAGTTGGAGAGCGAGTGGGATGGTGTTTTAGATGGGGTGTTGCGAGTGAAGAAGTAGAACTGGAAGCCCAGGTAGAAGTCGCACACACACTGGAAGATACCACAGAGCTTGAACGCCCAGGGGATGGTCTCTGTGCTGTTGAAGAAGTAACTCATTTTCATAGTGTCACCGAGAATCCATGCCGCAATAACGGAGAATCGGAAGCCCTTGCACGAGCCGGATTGGTGGTTGGCGAGGATTTGAGGGATAGGGAGGATAGCTTCGACGGCGAGTCCGATGTAGCCAAGGAGGCTGATATAGAATCGCGATTGAGCGACCGGGGTAAGGTGGATGATGGTCAACATTCCGACGAAGTAGGCTAGACACATCCAATATCTTCGAAAATGGGTAATCAGCTTTGATCGCAGTGGTTGGAGATGCCGAGACTTACGGCTTGGTAGCCTTCCACTGCCAGAACTCATAAGGTCTTGAGGATGAACCATCGGAGTTACCGCCGCTGAAGGGTGTGTGCTCAATTCCATTTCTCACCCCGGCAGAGGGCCGATTATCGAGTGCAACCTTGAGCATCGTGATCTGCACCACGATCATGACAATTGCTTGCGTTAACAAAGTCCTTGAGTAGTACTCGCCGAACCAAAAGAAAATCCTAATAATGTTAACATGGAACTGCCGCCTCGAATATCAACCCGCTGCCGATCGGAATCTTACTTCAGAATCGACGAGATCAGCATAATCAAAGGAATGTCTAAGGAGAAGCCCGCCGAGCTTCTTGAGCGATGAATGCTGAAGATTTGGTCGGCATAGGATGTGACCGGAGAGCTTATAAGGCTGCACACGAGCATGATTAGCACTGGGAACCCGTGGGTCAGTCATTTACGACCACGTACAAGACAGGTGCGGCATAGTCAAAGGCGGCCTGGAAAAGAGACATGGCAGGGGGTATGCGCGGTCGCTATAAAATAAAAAAAGCAGTCGGGTCGGCGATTGCGTGTGGAGCCGCGTATTGTAAATATTCGCGACAAAGAAAAAGCTGTTGACAACCAAGAACTGAAGTCAAAGAGGGAAAAAAAGCGTAAGCTTCGGGACACACGACTGCATGCGGCTTGGCCTTTTTGCCGGGCGGCCGGCGGGTGCCCTGGATTATGTCAGCGTGCCGATCTCCACCCGCGGCAGGGACGTGGGGATGTTGTGGGTCATCTGTCGTTATGGTAACCAATCATAATAAAGGGACCTTATTAATCATCATTTGCCTATCTCGGACGCATAACTAACTATGACCGCGGAAACATACATAATCAAAGCTGTTACCCAAATTGGATACGGGACTACATCACGATGAATCGTCGATGTATGAATTCTAACCAAAACCCCGACTTGACATTCTCCTACCTCTTTCTCTACCTTTCCCATCTGATTTCACTAAGCGTTGGTCTCGCACGAACATCCAAAATGAGCAATCCCAGGGCGGAAGCCGCAAAGGAAATCGAGCTCCAAGAGCTTGAGCGTCAGCTTAAAAGGCGTCAATTGGAATTTGATGTGGAAAAGCATGAAATTACATTGGCACACAGCAAAAACAAACTTGAGAACCATGAGCTCAGAATCGAACTCCAAAATCAGGAGCTTAGAATCCAACACGACAGAGCTGAGCTCGAGAAGGAGGAATTTAAACTCAAGGAAAAGATAAAAGGTCTCCATGAAATTGAAACCGGACCCAATATAATCAGGCTGGAGATATCCAAGAAGTTCACGCGTGGTATGGAAGGCAGTTTGGAACACGAGATCAGACAGATTGGAGACATAAATGCCCTTCAGCGATGTCGATTTGAACTCTACATCTATGAACAAGACCTCGACGGCAAAGAAGATCGCCTGGCGGAGTTCCTCGACGTGGAGACTAGGCTCCGAGAGATCGCTCAACGGGAAATGCGCTGGGAATATTATCAGCTAAGTGGAGCGAGAGTTGAACAAGAGCTTAGCGAATCAAACAAAGAATATAAACGAGTTGAGCGCGAGTGGTGGACGATCCGGGACTCTTTCTCCGATGGGCCTTTGACCCGAGCTTTTGAGCTCTGGCGGGGAAATCCCAAATGGTACATGCATCGTGTTCTTCGAGAGGACTGCGCTAGGAGAGGAGGCTGCTGTGGACGTGAGTGTGGATGTTGCCTTGATCGCAAATTTATTGGTGATCGTCGCAAGCATGCAAATGGCCACTGCACTGTCGAATGTGGGTGTTGTCAGAAGGCCGGCAGCTTTGAGATTTCGGAGAACAAAAAGAATGAATTTTCAATCCGATATGCGGTCTCTCAGGATGGTAAGAAGAGCCACGACTTCACGGACATCAGATTGAAGACCCTCGAAATGCAAAACCAACACCTTCAACAGCAGCTTTCTGAAGAAGCAATGAAAGATACTGTGATGGGAAATGAGATTTCTGACGGCATAGTTGCCGAATACAAACGCTGCATAAATGAAGACACTCTCACCGACGACGAAGCCGAATTCACCGATGAGAGTGACGACGGCTGCCCTCCGGAAGAGGAAGAGGATCCGCACTATCGTCGGATCTCTCTGGCTTCAATCTGGGGATTGGTAGATGGTAACTTCGAGAACCCGTTTGACTTGATCGACGAAGAAATGATCTATGCTCCATGGCAGCTTGTGGGTCGTTCTGAATGGCCAAACCAGGACGAAAACGATTCGACGATGACAGAAACGGATTGGTAATTTCCAAATCACAGTGCTTTAATTATGTGGCTAGTTTTTGGTGGTATTAGGAGGCTTATTTGCTAACATTTATGGATGGCTGAGAATAATGATGAATCTTGAACTTGCTAGTTTCGAAAGGACAACTTTCTTTATTTTACTACACTTTTATTGCCTTGAGCACTAGATAATGCGGTATACCGAGTAGCTATTTCACTATAAAGAGGGACAAGCAATGATAAGTATCTCCTGTATGCTTATTATTTACGATATCATAGAAGTTGAGAACGAAAACAAAGGAACCTGAGGATGGGATTACATATAGAATTCATGTTTCTGCCGAAATGGTCTAGGTTTTTAATCATGGAAAAGGGAAAGCACAAAGATACGTAAATTCGTTCTGATTGAAGTTCTGTTGTGGTACGAAGCCTCTTCTTGGAATAGGGAATGAACCCATAGCCGCGAAAATGCATGCACTACAAACCGCTGAACCCTACCAACGTCGTCATGGCTTACAAGAAGAATCAATGGGATTAGAAGTAGGTGATTGAAGTTGAACAAGGCTAACCCACGGCACGCGGGCTTTTGTGACTCTGGCCGGGGTGACAGCGAGCCCAAGGAATTCATATGATTTTCTCTTCTAATCGACGTCAGTATGCCGCAAGTCATTCACGAATGATAGTCTCACCAAATGGTCACGTACGATATGAGCACGGAGCTTCACCACCTGAGGCTCGGTACTATCGAGGGTATCGAACTTTGGGCAGTAGGGACACTTGTAGGCGCAGCGAGGAATCGTCTAAGGCCAAGAAGATTGGCATCTTGGAATGGACTGTTTGGGCGTTTCCACTTACAATTAATGCGTGTTCCATCGGCCACTGGCTTGCCTGATGGGCATCACAAGCGCAGAGCTTCTTGCTCTCCTGACTGATAGAATCGGTTAGTTATATTCAACGGTTCAATTCAAACTGATTCTTACAGCCATTTGGTGGGCGGCACATCCCTGTTTGACTTCCAGTAATGACCATACATCCCGTAGAAAGGACTTGTAGGGCCAGGTTCGGTCGGCTGCGACTCAGATGGGGTTGTTGACGCATCGGTGGTCATGGTGGCGGTGGTGTGTTTCTCTTTGAGTGAGTTGATACCAACGAGAAGGGGCAAATTGAAAAAGTTTGAGATGTGGGAGACAGGAAAGTAAAAAGAGAACGGAAGGAACCAAGAGAGCAAACTGAAATCAGCACGAAACCGTTTGATATAGGATGGCACCTGCCTAAGAGGCTTGCGCTGGCTTAGATTGAAGACATCAGGAGCGTTTTATCGGACATATCGTAATATCAAAAAAACATCATCATAAATTCATTCCCGCCCACAAAGTATTTACAAAACATACTTGAATAGGGGTGACTTGTCTCCCATATCAAACAATTCTTCCTCCGTGTAGTTAACTCTTGCATCATCTGCAATCCTTGCCTTCTTTGCATTGCCCATCTTGTATGTCCATTCGAGGAACAAAGCTACCAAGAATCCAACCCCACCGAGTGCCAAACTGAGACCAAATCCAGTGGTGTACTTGGGACTCTCTTTCTCGATATACATGAAGCTACCCAGTATGCCACCGACATTGCCGACACAGTTCACTAGCGCGATGCCCATAGCCCGTCGAGACGCTGGGGCGATGTTGTTTGCATTCCAAGACGCAGCTCCTGGCTGAATGGGATAGATACCTATGACAGACAAGACGACTGCAAAGTATGCCACTCCTTTTTTTGCTTCCAGCGCCCCGTTCAGGGAGAGGATAATAGAATAGGCTACTACGACAAATACCATGGGGATGCAGACAAATGGCATTCGCCAATAGAAGCGATCGGACAACCGTGCAAACACGATGGCAGATATTGCGCCGGCAATGTATGGAGGGGCGGAAGTGAGCTGGGCATTTGTGGAGCTGAATCCCATGGCTTTGGTGATAGTCGGGAGGGTGAACTTGGTACCTGAGTGGAAATTTAATTAGCCCAATGTCTCGAATCGGATTTGAACAACGGTTACCGTAAGACAAGGCCGATTGGCAGAATAAAAGGTAGGCTTGCACATATATCCTCCAGTTCATCAGGACCACCTTGAGGTCTCTCCACTTGAAACCCGACTCCCTAGTACTAGTTCCTCCTTGCTTGACGAACATTGAAAGCTCCAGGTAGCGAATTTCTTCAGGGGATAGCCAGCGCTTGGCTAAAGCCGGGGTGTCGATGAGAAGGAAGAAACAGGCAACACCTAGTACCACACTAGCAAGACCTTCCAGAATGAAGATCCACCGCCACCCCTCAAGTCCAGCAATACCGTCCATCTTGGCAATAGCGGCAGCCAACAGGCCGGAAAATGCACCGGAGAGCGCACTGGCACAGTAGAAATATGAGATACGAAGCGCCAATTCCCTAGGCATGTACCAGTAGGAGCAAAGGTAAATAGCACCAGGGAAGAAACCAGCCCTATAAGGATTTTAGAATGCGAAGCAGAAAGGGGTTCATCATTGTCACTCACTCAAGAGCACCAAGTAGGACTCGGGTGGTCATAAGACCAGCAAAGTTCTGGACCAGACCCGTGCATGTCATGACAATACCCCAGGCCGAGACAAGAAGTCCAAGGTACACCGAAGGACGCTTGAACCTTTTGAGAAGGATGTTACTGGGGACTTCCAACACGACGTAGGGAATGAAGACCAAATTGGGAGCCATTACACATCAGTTACAAAAGAGTTGGCTGTAGGAAATGAACTTACATATAGACAGTACAGTATTATACTGCAACCCAGTCATCTTGAGATCTTGGACCATGCCTTCGATTTTGGCATTGCCGATATTCGCACGATCAATGTGGCAAATCAAGTATAACACTGCGAGCATGGGAATCAGACGCTTATCGACCTGTACACAGAGTCAGGTGGATATTCATGAGAATGGCTAGTATTTCCACCTTATGGAAGACTCTTTTTCGTTTGTCCTCCGGATAGTTGTTATAGAAATCTGCATCCTCGGGGGTCAAACCGACGACACGAAAGTCTCCAATCTGAGTGACAAGAGAAGGCTTGAGAATGTGTTCGACATGAGCAGTTTGATCGACAATCTCGACATCGTCTTTTCCGATAGAGCCGCGGTTCATAGCTGTGGATTGGTAGTATACAATCGTTGCTACCACGCTCGAGGGTCCTGTACTTATAGAGTCTCGTCAACCAAACGAGGGATATAGCTAGTTATATCATGTCGGTTATCCTAAATAGAATGACGGAATGATTTCAGATGCCATTGTTTACCCCAGTCTTGGCGTCTACGTTCCAATAGCCAAGAAATGCGGGGAAGCTTGGCATTGAAGGGCGTGATCCAGTGACTCCCAGAAGTATGTGGGGGCGACCAATAGTGGTCTTTGCCAAGGTGAGCTTGTAAATAGGCATCCAGTCAGAGTCCGACCTGCTGCGGAAAGCACGGACAACCACTGTGGGTTGGCATGCGGGGTGTGCAATGATGAGCCTTTCTCCGGCCTTGCTCTGGGCCTTCTCCAGGTCTTCTCCAGGCCTTTCTCCGGACCTTTATCCGGTACATCTGCTCCAATCTCCTTCGGGCATATGGTAAGCTGCGACATATTTCACATTTCTGGCCGGAAAGGAGGGCATTCGAGCTTGATTGGATGTTTCCACCAAGAAGCCCTATGTTAACTTGGCATGATATAGTGCTCAATGTCGTGTCTGCTCAAGAATCCTGTCTCAAGCTGCAACAAGAGAGATGCACATGAATGCGTTAGAATTTCATATCGTTCTATTGGTGGGAAATATGGTTGTGCACGAGCCGTAGTATAATCAAGACCACCAGAATTCCGCACATGGCTTGGGCTGGTCATTCGATAGCTTGACTCGCCTGGCCCGCTTCGGACAAGGCGATAGGAAGATCGAAAGCATCAAAGAAACTCTAAATAAACTCGGCAGCGGTTGGCACCACAGCCCGGCGCGAGGACAAACTTTTAGCATTGAGGTTGCATATCTCAATTTCAAAGCTGGGAGGTTTCTTGATGAACAACTGCGTGAGAATCTGTGCATCAGAAGTAATCCTCGATATGATGGCGTTAAATTTTGTGAAGGGGTAAGTTTTCCCTATCGGACAATTTTATATAAAGAACCATATGCAGGCTTATCAACTTCTAATGACGTGAATATTGCATACATGTATTGTGCAAGAAATGAAAGATATCAATCAGAACTCAATCCGCCATGCCTTTCCAATACCAACATTCGGCTTCTTCACCACAACATAGGATGCCCTCCCGGCCTCCTGCTCGTAGAACTCCAAGGAGGCCGTAGAGCCTGACTTGGCTCCATCTTCAATGACACTCACGATGTTCTTAGCCTTCCATTCAGCGGGAGGGTCAACGATCACCACCCGCTCGACTGTCACACCAGCCATGGTCTTGAGGTACTCAGCAGTCTTAGGTCCATTGGTACCAATGTCCTTCGACGACAACACCGAGTCGCGGTAGTTGAAGCGGCGGTGAATGTAGGCGCCACGCTCGTAGTCGAACGTCTCGCCATCGTCCACGTACAGACTGCCTTCCGCCTCGCCATTCTTGTCTAGGGTAATGACTAGTGTGTACGGGTCCCATCGCATCAGACCGGTACTGCGACGAGGACGGTCCTTGCGGGGAATGATGTGACCACCCTGGATCAACACAGGAACCTTGTCCTCTGGCGCAGGGACGGTGTGTTTCTTGCCCGCACCCTGGTAGACGGTGAAATCAAAGTAGTCATAGTACTTCTCGTCGTCGGAGATATATACCTCTGCACTATGCGTGTTCTCCTGCACAACAGGCTTGACGAGAAGACCCGTGGAAGCAAGGTACAGCTGATCATCGATGGCAAAGCCTTGCTCGTCCTCTGGGAACATGTAATACTGAGGGCGAACGATTGGCGTGCCGTTAACGGAGGCTTCGTGGAAGGCGGTATACCAAGCAGGCATCAGTTGGTACCTCAGACGGATTGCCTGAGCGATGTAGGACCGGTGGGGCTCGCTGATCAGATACGGCTCACGGCGACGGGTATCGATGTGAGCATGCGCGCGGAAGAAGGGATACCATATACCTGTCTGGTACCATCGAGTCAAAAGGTCCTTATCAGGATTATGGAAGAATCCTCCGACATCTGCGCCAGCGAAGGGGAAGCCTGTGATACCGTTGGTCAGGACCATGGGGAGAGAAGCCCCTAGGTGGTCCCAGGTGGCCTGGTTGTCTCCAGTCCACATAGCAGACACCCGCTGGGCCCCGGAGTAGTACGAGCGCGTCAAGATGAATGGCCGGCGCATCTCCCCCTTTTTGCGCTCCAGCATTGCTTTGTAGGTGGCGTTCACAAGGGTGAGACCATTAAGGTTGTGAACATCGCGATGTTCCCAGTTTCCATGATGCAAGTTGTCCTTGGGCATGGTCATGTCAGGCCCGTTAAAAACAGAGGGTTCATTCATATCATTCCAGATGAAAAGATTCTGAAGCGATCCCTTGAATTTGTCAAACTTGTGTAGCGTGGCCCACCAGGCATGCGCAGCGGGGTTAAAGCAGTCGACCCAGTTCGAGGAACCTGGCCAGCACCATCCATCATAGATTTCGCCATCCTTGTTCAGCACAGCGAGGTTTTTGCTTCTAAGCTCTTCTGAAACGAAGTACTTGTCCGCGTTCTTGATGTGAGGATCGATCAAAACCACAAGCTTTCGCTCACTTTCATCGAGCTTTTGCTGCATACCCGTAGGATCAGGGAAGGTGAGAGGGTCCCAGGTGAAGTATTTCCGGTCATCGGTATATTCAAGATCAAGCCAGATCACATCGTATGGAATCTGGTACTTGTCAAATTTGGCGTTGACTTCCTTGACATCCTCGTCCGTAACATAGTTCCAACGGCATTGGTGATATCCAATGGCGAACTGCTGGGGCAATTGTGTATATCCTGTGAGTTCACCATATGTTTTACTGATATCATTCGGTGACGGCCCGAGGAAGACGAACAGGTCAATCTGACCGGATTCAGACATCCAATGAGTCTGGGTGTCTGTTTTGGAGCGGGCGCCCAAGGCCAGGGGGTTGGAGGAGGCAGTGGACTTGACAATATCGATCCACGTTTCCGCTGCATTGAGCCAGAAGACCCCGACAGTGGAGCTCTTGCGGTGGGCTTGCATCAGCGGGATGGCTCCGTACAAGGTCATCGGGCTTTCGAGTTCATACTCGAAAACATCGGAGTTGTATAGACGATAAGGGTTCTCATGGTTACCAGATCCACCCCTAGTCTCCTTGAGCGAGAGCGAATCTGCGTGCTCTGGGATACCAAATACATGACTATAACCGGGGAAGGTAATATCAAGAGCAATACTCTCGGGACCACGTGGCTTCGAGTCGGTATTTCCCCCAAACGTCTCCTCCCACCAGGTGCTCTCATCTTCGCCGGATTCGCCGTCTTCGGCATCTACCTTCGGTCGCCAGTGCTCCATGTTCAGGAAGCCTTGGTGGTTCAATTGAACATGGGTCTGTCCATCCCGCTGGAATTCGACTCCAAATGGCGCATGGCGAACGATCGCTTGGAATTTGTCGTCCGGTCCGTACAAGACGTTCGTGAATCCAGTTTCGCTCTGGGCATTCAACGTGGCCGACTTGCTGACTTCTAAACCACCCACGATAGCCCATTTTTCGGCTTCATTATATCGTTTCTTGTTTGCTTGACTGCCATGTCGCATTTCAATGTCGCCCTTCATCCGCTTCTCTTCATCCACCACAATGCGGGCTGCTCCCGATTCCAAGAAAGACACCGTGAGAGGTAGCCGGACCTTTTCATTGGCAGTCGTGGTTTTCAAAATGACTCCAGTAAGCATTCCATCCTTGAAATGTATAGTGGCGGGATCTAGCTCGTAAGGTGAGCTCCATGAAATGCCTTGAGAAGAGGCGTCATCGGCGTAGGCACGATTTCGTTTGCAGAACCCGGACTGATCGCAAGTCTTGAAATCCTTGTGTTTGACCGCAACTGTTCGTAGCATAAGAGTTAGCTTTCTGTAATCTTGCGATTTGGCAAAAGGTAACCTTACAACCGGGGACCACAATGCAGACGAGAAGGATAACCAGGGAGAGCAACATTGCCCAACGGGGCGCAGGTAGACTCCTGGCCATGGTGAAATAAATAGTACGATCAATCAGAGACCCTCAATCTCCGACAGAATGGCGTTGGTTATCAATGATTGACCTGCATTTAGAGGTGGAGATGCCGTCAACAGAAGCTACAAGCTGAGCTGGCCTGAGCTGGGGTAAGACCCCTAAGGCAACAAGGCAGCCACTACAGCTTCTGAACAGCCAATCAACTTGCTTTGCGTTTGAACCAATCGGCGTTCGCGATATGACCACATACCTGTGACTATACCGCTTTTCTATTGATCTGCCGTGCTCAGGCTGGTAGTTAGATGTTAGCAGATCTTGCTTAGTTCAGTCACATGCATAGAAGGTAAACACTGTTGGCACAGCCCGAATCACTACTGCCAGTCCTCTAATCTAATTAGGCCGAGTACCTCTTGGCACTTACGGTATCACACTAGTATAAAAAACACAGCCTTCGACTGACACCAGCCACATATGTAGTACTTCTACGATCAGCCCCATATTATGAAAGTATGAAGCTATTCAGAGATCACATCATCGCCTGTCACCATGAAGCGAGAACGAAGTCGAATTGTGGGTTTGTGCGGTATCTCGCTCCTCCGTACCCGAAAAAGCAATACATATGTGATCGTCTCTTAGCTGAAAACACTGATCGACTCGATGATCGACTCGATGACGTTGAAGCTGAACACTCGGACAGACTGGTCGATCCTTTTGCTGTCTACATAAACTCGTCTCTCGCCTACAATCTTCAGTCATCTCCAGACAACACACAGTACCCACGAACAGACAAATGAATACCATGTCAACCAATACAGGAAAAGTTAGTGTTCAATGTCAATTGTCTTTTTTGGGCCCTCGGATTTAGTTGCTAACCATGTTACCAGGACTTGGAGGACAGCTTCGGTGACGCAGTGGATTATTCTGTGTTCTGTCAGATTCTGGAAATGGACGATGACCCCGACGATAGAGAGTTCAGCACCAGTATCTGCTATGGCTTTTTCGAGCAAGCTGAAGAGACTTTTGAACGAATGGGGTTGGCAATGTAAGTTCGCCCTTCTGTTTCTCGAGACTATTTCGGTCTCACTGGAACTTTGCGTGAAACCTTGCTAGAAGTAAATGTGCAAAATTGAACCTTTGTACGAAATGATGCTTTTATGCACGGGGGCTTTTGAGTAATAATAATCAATTATGATGGATTGCTGACGGATCTTTAAATCAATATAGAACGGAGGGGGAACTCCGACAAATAAACGAACTCGCCCATTTTTTAAAAAATTCTTCAGCAACTATAGGGATTGTCAAAGTGCAGAAAGGCTGCGAAAAAATTCAGCACTACGGAATGAACGAAGATTTGGACGGCTCACCAGAACCTGATTCTGAGCTATGCTTGAGACGGATTGTGGAGGCGCTCGAGGACGTCAAAGCGGACTATTCTTATTCTGTGAGGAAGATTAAGGCATTCTATTCGAACCAAGAAGTTGAGTAGGAGCAAACACCTGAAATGATTTAGTCCCATTTCTGTCGTGATTCATTTTCCATTCCTTACATGTTGACGACTAAACGTTTGTTTCGAGTCTATGCAAATCTATGCAACCGGTGCCAATACTTCAGTGTAGTCTCCATAGGAGAGCCCGATGTCGGAACGTATTTAGAGATGTCTGCCATGCCAGTAGCTTCCTTTGTACTTCTACTCTCCTTTACTAATTCTCAATATACGGGAATAGGTGATAAAAACCATTTTACAGTTCGGCCTAGCTGCAATATAGGATGACGTGTCATACAATTCAATGCACAAAAATAAGATACGAGCAGAGATAGCAACTGAGAATCTGCTCGCCTACCTACTCAATCTACCCAACCAGTGGCCCACCTAAAACACGTGACTGATGGCCTAATCAATACCTTAACAATACCAAATTTCTACCAATCATTTCTCGTCAATACCTCCCATCAACCACCGAGGCGAATCAGGGAGGGATAACACCTTTAAGAACTTAACAGTAGTCATGTGATTCTATACATTCATGGAACATACAGTATCTGTGCAATAATTGCGGAGCGAAGCGAAGCAAGTAAACTATAACTAAATCAGAAGGTCTTACGTACGTGTCACGTGGCCAAGTTTTCTCCTAGAATTATGACAAAAGCAAGGGAGTTGATCAAGCCGAGGGGTCGTTCTGAAGCCAATAAGCCAGTAAGAGGGGGCTTTGCACAGCATTAGAAGTTAGAATCAGTCGCTTTGCTCGGCAACGACTATCTAGGCCGGCGAGATCACTCGTAAGTGCCGGGTGAGCTCACCCAGTGGAGGTTTCACGTGATTTAAGTGGGCCACCGGCTGCGTGAACTGCCCCCTGCCAGTCAAAATAGATCCACTATCCTGCTGCGTAGACATGTCGTCAATGCGTCAGCTAGCCAACGTGGTCGACTTGCAGAACATCAGCCAGCCACTTTTGTCGATTTGTAGAACATCAGCCAGCCACTGTGGTCGACTTGTAGAACATCAGCTAGCCCCTGTGGTCGATGAGGGAAATTATCTTACCAATGACCGGCACAGAGTATATATACCTTTGTGATCTATATCTCCAGGTTTTAGAAAAGAACAAGTACAATCTCATTTGAATTCGTTGACTATTCCTTCATTAACCTCTGATGATGGCTGAACCAACTGCTCCCACTGCCGTGTATAGCGCCCACAAGGAGAAGGTTCTTCTCCGTATTGCAACTGGCGGAGCTGGTCAGTCTGGTCTGCTGGAGGCTTTGGCAAAAAGTTTTGTCCAATAGTAAGTTTTGCCCAAGACAAAAAAATGTGTGCGGGAATGCTTTAAAGCTTCAAAATTCTCACCTACAGGCCAATAGTTGTGTCGATCACAAGAAAGCTGAGCCTTTCCTTATTGAATGGTACAAGACTGATAGCACTCCTATGACTGAGAATCTGCTCAAAGAGGTCGCCGATATCGCTATCACGTCTCATGCGCTAGATGACAAGGTCATTGAACGAGTCGTGTACGCGTGGCGGGACCATTGGATGCTCGTCGGTATGCTTTTCATCCTCTCCAATAAACATTTCAAGTCTCGGTGAATCTTATGTATTGAATACTGCAGGCCCAAAACACAACCCTGCTAGCCTCCCAGAGGATAGACAGACCAGAGTATCTTGTCTGTTTACCAAGTTGTTCAACCGAATGGAAGAGAGCAAGCATTCAGCGAAGCCCATCAAGTTCCTGTCGCGGTAGGTATTCGGGCTGGTCCTTCATTCCCGATCATCGGATATTTGGCATCCACTGACCGTTTGCTTTCACTTAGTTATGACAGATCCGCTGGAAACATCGTAGAGTCTCTGCTCTGGGCCACGATTAGCCAGGTTCCATGGGCCGATCCTCCAACCTCGTGGTATCACATGTTCCCTGGTTTCTCCGTTCAAGCTATACGTGAGGCGGCCAGTAAAGGCGAATACACTGTGACAGACAAGGAGACTTGGCTGGGGATCGGAGATGAGACGAGAAAACAGCTTACGATCTTTGTAATTATTTCCGGAAATGTACCATCCAAGATTACAGGCTAACAATCAATCTAGGCTGAAGGAGACGACAACGAAAACGATCTTTTACTTAACCCTGCTCACATTCTGGTCGGTAAGAATGCCAAAAACAAAGCAACGGCGAACAACTTTGCCGACTGGATGGTTCTGGATGATGGTGGCCAGCAGGTCATCAGGAGCTTTAAGAAGAGCGGAGAGGTCCTGTACTCGACTATTCCAGGAGGAGTCGACCCGCTAGACCGTGTCAAGGGGCTTCTAGGATTCTCTGGCTCGACCGCGGCAGCTTACCCAGCTGATTGGGTAGAGGATGAGATTTACTTCTTCAAGGACAACCAATATACCCGCATCAATCCCGCCAAAGAGCACAGCGACACACGTGGAGATGACATTTTGACAATGTGGCCCGCGCTTAAGAAATTCGGATTTTGCCCAATAAATTCCATATTCACTGCAACAGACGACGAAAATGAAGCATACTTTTTCTGTGGATCTCGTTGTTTGAGAATCCATGGTCACCATGGTTTGAACGGATATCCCGTCGGCAAGCCATTCAGGTTCCAGGAGAAATGGCCTGCCCTGAAAGAGGTGGGCTTTGAACTGGTGGACGCAACATTGCCTTTCAGTTTCAAAGGAAGCGAGTATCAACATGTGGTATGTTTCTTCCGCAAGGAAAGGTACGCTCTAATTGATGTCATCCGGAATATACTCTTGGAATCGGGTAATATCGCGTTGCGCTTCAATGCTTTGGCAGCAGCCAAGTTCAAGACAATCGATACTGTTGTTTTTAAGCCGAGAACGAACAAAGGTCAGGCGTGGTTTTTCTCCGGCGAACAGTATGCTCTTGTCGATTTGGTTGGTGACTCTGTCGCCCGGGGACCGGTGGACATCGCAGAATGGAAATCTTTGAAGTCTACTAGGTTATATTGAGAGATTGGATATGGACACTGTAATTTTACCGTTCTGTTTTACCGTTCTGTGAGGTTAATGAATGTCTCGAGATCACTCGGCTATATAGAATTTCTTCTTTCCTTTTTCAAACACAACAGTCAAAGGTATTATAAAGGCCACACAAAAGCTGCACCTAGGCACTATGAGGTAGGAATATGGAGTTACTTGCAACAAACTTGTGTGAGGCTGGGAGAAGAGCGAGCAATACAATGGACTGTATTGTGCTAACTGGGTGTCTTTTATACTAGGTTTTATTTGTTTTTTGTACTATGTACTTATTATATGGTTTTTAAATAGAAAATGTACTCGTATCTCTGATCGCTCATACTATTGTGATATTGCAAGCTTAATATTCTATATTACAGCTATTTTTTTTTCATAAAATAGTAGTACTCCGTATGCTGTCCTAGATTTTAGACTAACCCGAAGTGGAGCCCCGGACCCACTACGGGTTGTAGAGGGCATGGTGGATGAGACCAGACCTCGTGGTGTGACTAAAGAAAAGGAAAAGAACATTGGGCATCATCTACATAGAAGGGAGAGACGGAGACATAAGTATAATTTAACTACAAAGTCACGAACTCAATATCTTGGGCCGACAAAGAGCCTTATCGTTCGGAGCATAGTTTTGATCTTGACCACCACCCAGTAACTTTTCAATAATCTATAGAAAAGCCTTGATCCATTGGAGAATGCTTGTCAGGATTATTTATTAGATCCAGTAGCTTGTCACTCATCCTTTTGGTTACATGCGCGTAGGTAGATAAATGGTTCGGGATGCAGTATTTTATAAATCACTCTTCTGGGGAATATCTCACTTTTGCCATTCACCACACGCTATCACCTGATACTTCATTGGTCTTGTTTACAACTTATGGCAGAGGTCCGTACCTAGCGCCCCCTAGTACTTAAGAAAAGGGCTCAATGCTTGTAATCCAGCCTTCTTCATTGCCTCGCAGTCTTGAAATCCTATTCAAGAAAAAATAGTCTTCTCTTATTAAAATGAGATCTTATGATAAGGGAGAGACCTGGGAATTTAGCAGCGGTATCCCATAATTTCTATACACGATCGTTATCTTCCAGGATGGCGACGACTACTTTTGGTCCCATCAGCCCAAAAAGGAGCATCTTCTAGAGTACCCCGCCAATATCGACCAATCACTCTTCCAGAAGATCCCACCAGAGCACATCTGGCCCCGGCTATATGATAACCTCACAATATACAAAAGCCCTCACAGTCCGGACGTCTAGATCAAGCAGCCCCAGCTCACTCGCTACGACAAATCAGAGGCATTCAGCAAATACCTGCTCCAGGAAGTGCATATCTGCCAGTTTTTAATGGAACACCCAATGGAACACCCACATGAAAATGTCACCTGCTATCTTGGCTGCGTGGTGAAAGACGACCGGATCACCGGGCTCTGCTTCCAAAAACACGCGGATACGCTCGGGGACCGCCTGAGGGACGGGCGCTCGGTCGACAAGGAAAGCTGCCTCGAGCAGGTCAGGGCAGGCATTGATCATCTTCATGCCCTGAATCTTGTCCACAACGATCTTCGTCAAGACAACGTTATGTTTGCAGACCGAGATAATAAAGCCTGAGTTCTCCCTATTTGACATGGTGAACCCGTACATATATACTTCGAGTACATAGTTCTAAGTGTATTTTGCTTTTCAGGTGGATGGAGGGCCTTTATTTGTAATGCCAGCTAAGTCGAGCTGGATCTCCCCTCAGCTTTTGCCCTGACGATTAGCTGTTTGCAAAGTATACAGAGGCCGAAAACGGCGACTCCCCCTAGCAGCCGCTGTTCATTTACTTAGAGGCTTGCAAGAAATTATTCTACTGCATCGAAGAATAGAGGGTCTTGAAACTAGAAATTGGGAGCTAGTTGGGAGATTGCACGTTGCTGAAGTTCAGGGGAAGTTGCCAGGGGAAACGGCTGGGGACGGGGCTAGACGCGAGTCGTTATTTGAAGGAATCATGGCTTGAATTTAGATGCTGTTATTAGAATTGAACTGTTATTTTCGAGTTGATAGATGTTTTCATCTTCGTAGTCGGGTCCATGAAGCGAAGAGTGAAAAGAGTATATTTAGTTAGTTACAAAAGTCCACTTCATGCCTTACAATTCAGGCATCGGGCATCAACACCCCTCCTTTCCGGCCACCAATCAACGGCCCAAGTGGGAAGGCCCGAGTTTTTTAAAAGCCTCTATTTAATCTTTCCCTCTTCCGCTCTCTTTTCCTACTCCATACCCTTTGATTATCATTCTCATACATTCAAAATGTCCGCCAACGAAGAACAGACGTATGTGCTTCAAAATCAGTCTTCCCTAATCCCCCTTCTTTTTCGATTGCTATTACCCCTCGCTGCCGGTAAAGCTAATCAATTGCTCTAGTTTCATCGCCATCAAGCCCGATGGTGTCCAGGTACGGACACACCCCCCCTTCGACTTGAACCCATAACGGACCCGGAAGAGCTCCGCAATTGAACGACATTTACTAACAGCATCAACCAGCGTGGCCTCATTGGACCCATCATCTCTCGCTTCGAGAACCGTGGCTTCAAGCTCGTTGCCATGAAGCTCACCTCCCCTAGCCAGGAGCACCTCGAGAAGCACTACGCTGATCTCGCCACCAAGCCTTTCTTCAAGGGTCTCGTCGCCTGTTAGTTTACTCGTCCGAATGGTTCCGCAAATCCAGATACACTAACACAGCTCTAGACATGCTGAGCGGCCCCATCTGCGCTATGGTCTGGGAGGGTAAGGACGCTGTCAAGACTGGCCGTGTCCTCCTCGGTGCCACCAACCCCTTGGCTTCCGCCCCCGGTACCATCCGTGGTGACTTCGCCATCGTAAGGAACCCCGTATGTTCTGAGATCGTGTCATTACATACTAACAATTTGACTAGGATGTCGGCCGCAACGTCTGCCACGGTTCCGACTCCGTCGAGAACGCCAAGAAGGAGATTGCTCTCTGGTTCGGTGCCTCCGAGGTCCTCAAGTACACCTCCGCCCAGGCCGCTTGGGTTTACGAATAAATTCTTCGCCTTTAAGTGGACTAGTCGGGCGGATTTCTTGTTCGGACACTTGTAGCATAGCGTAAAGCAACAGTTCTGAGGAAGAAGTCCAATGGCTTGACAAAATACACAGTATACAAATTCATAGACCTATGAATATACTTCTCTCTGGTATCATAGTAGTGCTCGACTAGCTTATCCTCTGCCGAAGAGACGTCCGGCTAGCTTTGCTATCGGTGTGAATACCGACCTTGCAAACCACGGTGTCGCCCAAACACTCACTGCCAACCGGACTGGCAACAAAGCTTTTGTGACCGCATAGGCTGTAGCAAATTCCAGCACCAATCGAACACCTGCTCGGTCCACAGTCTTCTCCGCAGTGGTTTCATGATCGGCAACAGTATTCACGTCGGACTCATTCACCCAACCTTTCTTTTTCAGCCAGCGGCCGAAACGCGCAGCTCCTTCGTCGAAGGCATTGGTCTCGCCTGTTTGCGATGCAAGATCCGGCATCCAAACACCATAGTGAAATGCACCAACCAGGCCAAATATTGGAACAATAGCGGTTATTTCATGAAGTATTAGGAATGAAGTGATATGGGTGACCGGCGCCCCTAATAAGGGTGTAGTGTATGTGCGGAGAAAGCGAGGGATGCGGTCGTTGAGCCGACGCAGGCGAGAGTGAGAGTCATTGGGGATCGGCTGTGACGGTTTCGGTGGCTGTGGAGGGGATGGAGTGGAAATGGTTCGTCGCGACGCATGCGACCTAGCGTGTCGAGTTGTTTGGAGACGGAGATAGCGGAGAACGTTGGGTGGTCGGGAGGCCATTTTTCCGTGAATGAATTGGTAAACTTGTGAAGTTCAAAAAGAGAGACTACATATGTTCAAAAGATCATGCCTTCTCCGACGCCAAAATACATGAGTGCTAAACAAGTGCTCGCATTAAGCTCGCCGATCCCGATGAGACCTCGGGCCCCGGGGAAAAATGACGATTGTCTCGCTGAGTCATCTCTTGCACTGTCAGTTTTTTTTCTCTAGCTCTTCGGGATCAAGATAAAGTTACTCCTTGCATAGGAACAGTATTTAAGCCTTTAAATCCATGTAGTGTATTTGCAGTAGACCTTTCATGCACGATGGCCAGTCGGCAGCTGTAGACATCATAGTTCCCGATGCGACTGGAGCAGATGGTGACATGGTCCACTTTTGCCCCGAATCCTCTCTTCTTCATTCAACCCCTCCCATTGCCGACCCATACACTTATAGGACGCAATGGAGAAGAAGATCACCGAGAAGATCGCGGCTCTGCCGCCAGATGCCAACTACTTTTCCTTGGAGTTCTTCCCTCCAAAGACCCGAATGGTGGGGGTTACCCCGCCTGCTGAACAGTCGTGGATATTTTGCTAATATGGACTACTATAGGGCTTCGCCAACCTGTCCGCGCGTCTGGAGCGGATGGCACAAGCACTCCGTCCTCTATTCGTCACGGTTACCTGGGGTGCCGGTGGTAGCACTGCCGCACGATCGCTCGAGCTGGCGGAAGTATGCCAGCGCCAACTGCAGTTGACAACCGTCTTGCATCTGACATGTACGAACATGAGCCGAAAACTGGTGGATATGGCTCTCGATGAGGCCAAGGTTCTCGGAATTCGCAACATCCTGGCCCTACGAGGAGATCCGCCCCGCAGCGAGGAATATAACATGCATGGAGAGGACGATAGCAACAAGGATTTCACTTTTGCCATTGATTTGGTACGATACATTCGCCAGAGACATGGCGACTACTTCTGTATTGGTGTGGCCGCATACCCGGAGGGCCATCCCGCCGACACGTTCCAGGACGTCCAGGATCCGGCCAGAGATATACCTTACCTGGTCGAGAAGACACTGGCTGGAGCGGATTTCATCATGACCCAACTGACCTACGACCTCGACGCTTACCAAAGGTTTGAACACATGCTTCGCAACCATGAGTCTGGTGCTTTCAAGACTATCCCCATCATCCCGGGTTTGATGCCCATCCACAGCTATAAGATTCTCACCCGCGTGACTAAGCTCAGCCATGTCACGATTCCACCTCCCATTGCCAAACGCATGGAAGAATTAAAACACGACGACGACGCGGTCAAGCGCGCGGGTGTGGATATTGTTAGCGAGATTGTGGGTGGTATGAGCCAGCTTCCCTCCCCGGGACCGCGAGGATTCCATTTCTACACCTTGAACTTGGAGAAGACAGTATCATTCATCCTAGAACAATGCGATTTGATTCCGTCGTACTCGGATGCTGGGGAAAATGCTATCGAGGATGGTCCTGCATCGATTCCACTCGATTTCGCTGAACGTGCCTCGCGCAGACGCCGTGCGTCCTCTATGAACTCGCAACCCCGCAACCGCGTCATTGTCGACAAGCTATCGGTCCACGGGTCATCGCAGGACTCCGTCCACGAGGCCCGCGCAGATAGCGCAGGCGTGCCTGCACCCCCGCCAAACCGCAGTACTACTCTTCTCATCTCCGAGGGTCTCGGTGCCCTTGGCAGAGAAGCAACATGGGATGACTTCCCCAACGGACGATGGGGTGATGCTCGCTCACCTGCCTTTGGTGAGATCGACGGCTATGGTCCCTCGCTCCATGTCACTGCCAACTCCGCACGTAGGCTATGGGGCCACCCGGTGGACAACAAGGACATGAGCACCCTTTTCCGTCGCCATGTCTCGGGAGAGCTACACATGGTCCCGTGGTCAGAGGGTGGTGCCGAAGAGGATGGTGAGGGTTTGAACGCAGAGACTGAACTGATTCGACCGGAGTTGTTGAAGCTCATTGATGGCCGCGGCTGGTGGACACTGGCCTCGCAGCCCGCTGTGAACGGTGTACACAATGACCACCCCATCTTCGGCTGGGGTCCCCAACGAGAAGGCTTCGTCTTCCAGAAGCCATTTGTGGAGTTCTTCTGCTCGAACGACGACTACACCAATATCCTGAAGCCAATGTTCGCTAAGCACGGCCGCGACAAGCTCACCTGGTTCGCCACAAACATCAAGGGCGATTTCGAGTCCTCGCTCCCAACCCAGCCTGCAGATATGGAACTCGATGACCTTGCCTCCAACCCCGAGAGTGTCAACGCTGTTACCTGGGGTGTGTTCCGCGGTAAGGAGATCGTCACCCCAACGATCATCGAGGAGGTGAGTTTCCGTGCGTGGGGTGAGGAGGCGTTCCGAATCTGGGACGAATGGCGTCGCATCTACCCCCGCGGATCGCCCACCGAAACCTACCTGGACACCACCAAGAACGACGCTTGGCTTGTGTGTGTTGTCGGTCAGCAATTCGGTGCCGGTACGAAGCAGGGCTCCAAGGAGGAGGAAGACGAGGTCAAGTGGATGTGGCGGGTCTTGGCGGGCGAGGAGGTTTAAGAATGCGTCTTTCTACAAATCAGGATAAAGATATACCCTAGTGTTCTTACGGTTGACGGTTGGGGGTTTAATGGGGGCAAGCCTGGACATATAGACTAAGAATGGCACAAAATCTGGATTTATGTACACTAGTCTTGACCCCATCCTATTGAGATGAATATTATGAATATGCGTGCACTCCTGCTTTTATAGGGCATTGTTACCCCCCTCTGTCTGGTTTTTCAGGATTCAGCTTACCGCCATAACTATCATTAAGGGATTTTTGACTACCGCGTACGTAAAGTAGAATTCAAAAGTGTAGAATTAAGTCTGGTAAATTGAAATTGATGCCTTATGTGTAAGACAGAGGGGTCGAATTAGCCAAAGAAGGGCCCCTGTAACAATCCAGTATATATATTTTGTGTTGATCTATAGATATCATACGCTAATTGCTAAGCAAATGCTTCCATAAATACGTACCGTTTCTCATGCAAGCGTTTGCCGGAGGCGATCCTCCCCGTTGCCATCACAACTTCTCAGCAAACCCGTGTTCCTCGAGCCCGCTCGCGTCGGTGTCCGGGGTAGCGATTTCAGACTGGGCATCGGCGAATTTCTGTATAGCATCGTCAAGAGCGCCATATATCTTGGGCATGCGTCGGGGCTGGTTAGGCCCGTTGGCCGGTAGTTGATAACCGCGTAATCTGGCAAGACCGTTAGTGATTTGAAATAAAAACACATTGAAAATTGGCAATTGACATACCTAGGACCTTCTCCACTACTCTCCGGCATCGAAGAGGCATAAACACGAGCAAACGTCTGCACGTCCTGCTCGAAGGACCCATGTTGGATACTATCCCGCACTCTTGCGAAGAAGGTATCCATGACGTGGAAATTATGGACTTGAAGGAGCGCCCAAGCGGTCATCTCCTTAGCAAGGAGAAGATGGTGAATATAAGCACGATGGTAATTCTTGCAGGTATAGCATTCACATCCCTCGCCCAGCGGAGATATATCGGTAGCGTGATCAGCGGTCCACATATCGATTCCCAAAGGCTGAGGCTTAGACTTGCCCTCTTGCAGGGCAGCTGGAGCTGGGAAGACGAATTCCATCGCGATGCCGCCGTCCGACGACGCGCCGAGCAAAGGTGTAGTCAGGAGGTCTGCCCCAAGGGATATGTCACGCAGGATAGTGTGGGGAGTCTCGGGCTCGCTGAAGAGCAACCGAGGCAGACCCGCCAGCGACTCTGGGACGAATTCCAGTGACGCAGACTCATATAGCGCCAGGCCGGATATATCCCAGCGGAACTCGCTCTCCAAATCATCCAGATAGAGAGACTGCTGCGCATTATCAAGAGGCAGTACCGGTGCGAAGTATGCGCTCTTTGACTTGTCTTTCTCTGCCACAGCGTCCCCGTAGAGCTGCTCCAATGCATCGCGTGTCCAGGCATGCGTCCGGTCAACCATCTTCCCTCGCCTCTTAGACCCAGGCTGCTTATTAGCCAGGTCCACCATCCCGACCGCAATGTCTGGTCTCAATTTCTGAATCGCCTTCACATAATCATGCGCAGATAACTGGGTGAACCCGACCGATGTTAGCAGCGCGATGGAAGTGTTTGTGTTCGCGGGCGGGCATGGGATCGGAGGGAATCGACGCGGGCCTAGGATCAGAGGCATATCCTCAGCCACACAGATGAATTTCTTCAAGGGCGACTCGTGATCAGCGACTGGTGTCCTGTAAACCGAGGGTTCCTTTTTCGCGATGACTTTTATATGCCCGATGGGCATGCGCTGTCAGCTATTGATGAGAACAGACTTGTAGCAATCTCGGAGTATTCATCTTACAATCTTCTAATCCAGCATATAAGCTGTTGATCTCAGTGTGGTCGCGCATCACATCGTGCGCAACATGTGGGACTGTGCCCCGCGAAGTGAGCGGGATATGGTGCGGCGTTGCGAGGGTCTTGCGCCCTGGAATGGCTAATTTTCCTACTCGCGGGGCAAGGATTGGAGCAGTAGATGCCAGGATGCTGAAGGTCATCGCTGGGGACGCGGACGTCGCTTGGTCCATGGCGTTCGTGGTTATTGAGAGACCATGTTTGGACAGATCGTGTTCTTATCGAAGAAATCGGATTTCCCGATAAACATCGAACTCGCTATCCTTCGGAAACATTTGGGCTATTTCACACATTTCACTAGGAATTGAGGATCCTCACCGACAACTCTCAGATATTTCCATATAATCACACCCCTGTATTCCAGTCAATCATGACAAGCCCATCAGCACCGCCGACGCGACGCGGAGCGCTCATTGTTGTCGAAGGACTCGACCGCGCTGGCAAATCGAGTCAGTGTGAGATGCTACGGGAATCTCTCTCGCAACAGGGGCATGTGGTTAAATACATTCGATTCCCAGGTATTGATTAATCGTTACTATGGGTGCATTGGTCTAATAATCTCCTCTAGACAGAACGACGCCCATCGGGAAGTTGATTGATAGCTATCTACGCGGCACATCCCACCAAGACGACCATTCCATTCACCTCCTTTTCTCGGCGAACCGGTGGGAAATTGCAAGGAGCATTGAAGAAGATATCACAAACGGAACAACCGTCATTGTAGACCGCTACTCATATTCCGGGGTTGTTTACTCCGCCGCGAAAGCGAACCCCACACTATCACTGGACTGGGCATGGCAGCCAGAAATCGGTCTACCGCGCCCGGATATATGTTTATTCCTTAGCATTTCACCCGAGGAAGCAGCAAAACGTGGTGGGTTCGGTGCCGAGCGATATGAAAACGAGGCAATGCAAACCCGCGTGCGGGAGCTTTTCCGGACGATCTTCGAGAAGCAGCAGGATGTGTCTATTATCGATGCGGGGAAATCCATTGATGAGGTGTCACGGGAGATACAGAGTGCTGTGGCAGGTTGCATTGCACGTCTGGACGAGACGGGCGCGTTGAGGAAATTAGAGCCTCTTGCGAATTAAGGAATTAGAAATAAAACTGGGTTTGGTTTGGTCATTCAATGATTTCTGCGTCATCCCAGTCGCTGTCTTCGATCACGATCTCGAGCTTTGATGGAGGTTGGGTCGGGCGGTGCTTTTGTCGACCCTCGAAATCTGAGTCAGATTCTATATCGACTTCCTCGAACCAGTTTGGCCCTAGGTCGTCTTGGGTCGGTTCGTCCGGCAATGACCTTGGTTCAATAGCAGACCGGGATCCTGAAAATACCTCCATGGCGGCAGATTCTTTGCGAACACGTTTCTCCTTCTTTCTGAGAATTGCGCGCGTTTCTTTCTCTGCTCTGTTGCGAAAGCTTAGCTCGCGCATCATTGCCACCCACTGGACGGTGTTTTTACACGCCGGGCAGGTTCCATGAGTAGGCACTAGGAGGTCTGGTCCGTTGGTCGCATCAAGGAATGTGGTAGATAGACATAATAAATGGCTTGTGCCGCGGCAATTCGGGTGTGGACACACAACTATTTGTTGTTCGTCCGGAGAGATCGACTCTTTACAGACCGTGCACTGCAGATCATCCGGGTCTTCCAGCATGAACATTGACTTTTCGAGATAATCTTCTATCCTGGTGTAGTCAATTGATAAACTGTTAATGCTTCCAACGGGTGCGAACTCGTCGCCTTGCTTTGGACCGGGCGGTTTTGTAAGGTTGTCTCCATCTAGAATAACCTTGATGTTGTCGGGTAAGCGACCATTCACACGGTCATTCCAGGCTCGCCATACACGATATACATCAACACAAAAGAAACGGACTCCTAACGGCCAAGAGGAGAAATAGGTCGAACGAAGTAGAGAATGCAAATCCTCGAAATGCGCCGTTAGGGATCTCCTAGTCCGCGCTTTAGGTTTCGGTTTTGGTTTGCCCGTCTTCGCATCGGTATTGGCCTTAGCCCGAGGCTTGGAGTCTAGATCATCTTCGGAATCAAGGTGCCGCGACCTTTCTGGGTGTTGCCAAGCCCATCTACGCGCAATGAGAAATTGAGACGCGATATATACAAACAATTCACATGCGACTTACTCGAATTGCAAAGCGCCGACTCTGCTCGTGAAACCCTCTACGACCAGGGTCATTTCCCAGGGGCGTAATTTATCTCTGGCCGTTCGCTTGGCCCCACCTTTGGCAACACCGTTGTGCTGAGAGAGTCGTCTGATCGGGTTTGGCGTCGAGCCAATATATAGTGATGCGTGTCGAACGGTTGACCGGAGGAGATAACAGCAGTAATATGCCGGGATTGGTTTAGGGGTTTCAGACTCCTCCATGATGTTTGATTTGGAGGAATTTTTAAAGTTTTTGACATTGAAATGTTCAATTCAATGTTGTCGGCTTGTCGAGTCCTTGAAATTAGCTCTGCCTATCGAATACGTGCGGGTCCAAACGGTACCGTGATATACAGATCACATGATAAAGTATTTTTTCCCCTCTAAGGGGAAATGGAATTGCATTACTGTCTAGGGATGATAGTTAGGGACTTACATATGTAATGGAGTTCTTACCTGACGATAGTTATGTGTATCGAAGGGATGTGCAAAGAATGCCTACTGAAAGTCTCACAAACAACTATGTCACAACTCCATTGATAAACATTTGAAGATATCAAAAAGACAATAAACCGGAATAAAATACATATCAAGCCATTATTGAAACATCGCAATTATAGAAACAAAGTCTATACGCAGGTAATATTTCGCCAGTATCCGAGGCACATCCCTCTATCAAGTTAATATGTCACAAGACACTATATTTGGATATCCACCATACAGCCATAGGTCTACGGCGTAACATTGGGCTCCCAAATACTGCGGTCCGTACACGAAATTATTTAGGAGACACCGTATGATCCCCGTTTGCAGCATTGCAGTATAATTACTAAAATTTCACGTGAAAGTCAGGGTACAGGCGGTTCCTGAGCTCGGATTAGCTCATTCTTACAGTAATTCCTTTACCGTACTGATCGGTACCATCGCGGCTGGGTGGCAGGTCCCCCCGGAGTCACTCATTGGTTCCTTTCGTACTGGCTGGCCACACAAAAAGAACCTGGCAGTACTTCCGGAGTACCACCCCCAGTCGATCTTTACTGCACATAATCTCATTCCTCCACTCTTAAGGTTTCTATCCCATCTATCCTTCTTTCCTCTCTGCGACTTGGGCCTCTCTTTTCTTGTTCTATTGCCTTTCGCCCCGAGTCAAAATTTCCTTTCGTTTGTCCTCAATATCCATTCTCTCATATCCTTTGGTTCGTTACCGATCCTTCACCCTTCGGTCATATTGACAGGAACGCCGGCAGCCGCCTTTCCTGATATCTATCATCACGCCCTGCCGTTGACGCATTACGGTCATTGTTAATCGAATTTCTTCAAACAGGCGCGCTCAATCAAACATATCCCCTAATCGCCTGCCCCATTTCGAACAATGGGAGCTCCGGCCTCTGCCGGGGCGACCTCGACGGCCGCAGCAAGCCAGCCGACTCGGTCCTCGAGTACCCATCCGTCGCACTCCCACAACGTGCCCCTGAGCGCTCGCAGGTCCACACCTCTCGATTTGTCCACCGTGGAACGGCGCGGACAGCCCAACAACCCCAGAGAACCATCCAAGCGCATTCGTCCTCATGGTATCCCAGAAGCCCCGACCTTCCGTCCGACAGAGGAGGAATTCAAAGACCCGGTGGCCTATATTCAGAAGATCGCTCCGGAGGGGAAGAAGTATGGAATTTGCCGAGTGGTTCCACCAGAGGGCTGGCAACCGACTTTCGCAATCGATACAGAGGTAGGATCCCTCCTTCACCGGCCCACCGTCGCTTTCCGCGCATGATCACGTCTGACAATGGATATAGCGATTCCACTTCAAGACACGTCGACAAGAGCTGAATTCGGTCGAAGGAGGTAAGGCCCCACGCCCAGCTTACTCCAGCTGGTAGGATCACACCGCAGTGCGGATCTAACCCTTATTCGAACATAGGAAACCGCGCGAACATGAATTATGTCGATGGACTTGCCATGTTTCACAAACAGCATGGGACTAACTATAGCCGGCTACCCAGCGTCGACAAGCGACCATTAGATCTCTACAAACTTAAAAAGGCAGTAGAGAGTCGTGGTGGGTTTGAATCAGTGTGCAAGACCAAAAAATGGGCCGAAATTGGTCGTGATCTTGGATACAGCGGCAAGATAATGTCTTCTTTGTCCACTTCGCTCAAGAACTCATACCAGCGGTATTTGCAGCCGTACGAGGAATACCTGGCGCGGGCCAAGCCCGGTGTGCAACAACAGCTCGAGCTTGAACATGGTGGTCCATACACCCCTTCGCCTCTACAATCCCCCATGACTCACAAGCCAATGTTGGATGAAAATGGCACGCCTTCTAAAATTCGCGATGACACTCCTAGCTTGCCTAGAATGGCTGCTTCGCATACCCCAATGGCATTTACTCCAGTGGCACATTCTCCAATGGCACACACTCCAATGGAAAAGTCCCCAGAGAAGCCAACACCCCCGATCGAACCTACTCCTCCCCCTGCTTCACGCCCAGCACCCACGAGCTTCACTCCCGTCAACTCCGGCCTCGGTGGCTTTACCGCCGTCAATCACTCTCCTTTCACGCCCGTGAACAACGGCCCGCCAATCAAGCGGGAGGGAGAGAACGGCACATTGACACCCAAAGTCGTTTCCGAGCATGGTTTCGTCTCAACGCCTGTAAATGGTCAAGATGAGGAGTCTCTGAAGCGTGGTATCAGCCGCGAGGCCAGTTCTCAGTGTGAAAATGGCGACGATGATGATGGAAGCGGTCGACGCAGCAAGCGCCTCAAGAAAGGTACGCTTTTTTGCCCTTTTAATATTCGAAGCAAATCTTGTCTAACCCTTCTAGATTCCCTTCCAACCGTTGCTGGTTCTCATATGTCGCTCCTTCGCCCAGCACCGGTTAAATCGCGCAAGGATGGCTCCCAGCCAGCTGGAGAGGTAGGCGGGGGTTCGTGTCAGGGTTCTGATGATATACTGATCCATGAACAGAAATGCGAGACATGTGGCAAATCCGATGATCAAGGGATTATTCTA